TGGCCGGGTCCCTCTGAGCCGCAGTTGCGGGGAGTGTGTCCGGCGGCGGCCCCGGCTCCTTAGGAGGGGCGGCGTCCTCCTCTTCCGGCAGCTCCTGCGCTCCCTGGCCGCCCTGCAGCAGGCTGTGGGCCAGACAGCGGCTCTGCACCCCGTAGAGGCAGTTCAGGTTGAGGCCGTTCTCCCCGTACAGGTTCACGTAGTAGAGGTGCTCGAAGGGACTGTAGGTTTCGATGCGGGCGCTCACCGCCTTGCCCAGCAGCAGCGCCTTGAGCCCGCTGAGCTGGGAGCGGGACCAGCCGCAGCCCCCGTCCGAGATGCCCTGCAGGGCGCACGGGTAGGTCACTACCGGCATGCGGAAACACTCCAGGGGCAGGCGGCGGAGGTTAGCCTCGATGACGAATTCCTTCCTGCCGTAGTCCACGCAGATCACCTGGGCCACCAGCCGACCCTCCCCCCCGGGGAAGAGCTCCAGCAACAGCGCGCGGTACCAGCGCCCGTCTATGCCGCGTGCGGCGCAAGGGGCGCCCAGCTTGGGTAGCGGATCCTGCTCCCGCCTGGCCGCCGCCTCGTACCTCTGGTGCAAGGAGTCCGAGAGGCGCTGGATCTCCTGGGAAAGGCTCTGCAGCTGGCAATAGACGTGGTGCGGGTCGGAGATCTGGGTCACTAGCACCGGCTGAGTCACCCCCAGCTGCAGCCGTGGGTAGAAGAAATCCAGGGCGGCCGGGCCCGGCTGGGGAGTGGTAGCAATAGGGTACAGCTGAGCCGAAGTAGGGCCGGGGGGCTCCGGCTTGGGCTGGCCGTGCAGGCGGGGCGCTGCCAGGCAGCGCTTGAGCAGGGCTCGGAAGCAGCTGGGAGTGACCTGCTTGGCCAGGCCCAGGTGGTGCATCTGGGCCAGCAGCCAAGGCAGCTCGAGCAGGACCAGGCACTGCGGCATCAGCACCTCTCGCACCAGCCCCGACACCTCCTTGGCGTGCAGGTAGTTCAGGAACTCCAGGGCGCCCGCCGTCCAGCTGCCGGCCGGCTGCTCCCCGCTGCCCGCCACGGCCGCCCCGTCTCCCGGCGGCACCAGGTCGGCCAGCACGCAGCCCAGCCCCTCGGAGGGCAGGTGGAAGAATTCGTCCCTGCCCCGGGCCAAGTAGTAGGCGTCGGCCGCCACCGTGCGACCCTCGTCCAGCAGGAAGACTCGGCAGTGCTGGCCTTGGCGGCTCACCACCCGGCAGCGGTGCCAATGGTCCCCTAGTTCCACCAGGCACAGGTCCCCCGAGCACAGCCCGGCCCCCGCCGCCGGCCAGACGGCTCCCGGGGCGCCGACCAGGCGCGGCCCGGCCTTAGCCTGGATGTCCTGGCGCAGCCGGGCATACTCCTCCCGGCGCTCGCCCAGCAGGCCCCACAGCCGCACTATCGGCACCTCCGGGTGAACGTCCACGAAGGTGACCCTCAGGCTGATGGTGGTGCCGGGACTGGGGATCCCCTGCACGGAGCACATCCCGCAGCGCGGCCGGCCCTACTGGGAAGGGAGCTAGCGGCCGTTCCGCTGGTCTAGAGGCACGTGACCGCTCCAAACTGCCCAGCACGAGACTGACCAGCTACGCCTATAGCGCTGCACTGTCATAGGCTGTTCTTCCCCACGTGACCCTTCCCGTCGCCGCCGGCTGGTCCGTGGGCTTCACTAGAATGAAAGTCCGTTAAACGACCGAGCTTTGTGTTCGAAGGGAGGTGGCGTTGGTCTGGTCCATTTTGCGGGGTGGGGGGGGGGGTAAGAACAGGTTGGCGGCTCTGCTGTCAGCGGGGAAGGAAGGAAGGGTGTGAGGGCCTGAAATACCCCTGGGTGCAGGCCTGTGGCAGGGGGAATGGCGGTGGGAAAGGCCTGCTCCTGGGCGCTGTGCTCCTCCGGCTCTGGATCACACAAAGCCTACTGGCCTCTGTCCCAACCTGGCGCCTTGATAGGCTGCTCAGGGTGAAGCAGTTCATGCTGAGAGGTGTCTACAGGCTCCTGGGCTCAAGGCAAGCCATGGCATGCCGGGGCTTGTTTACATGCTACTTGACATCAGGGGAGAGCATTGCATGCTGGGAGGGACCTGCTTTTACAGGCTATTTGGGCTGAGGACCAAGCATTGCATGCCGGGAGCTGTCTCTACAGGCAACTCAGGGTGAAGCATTACTCTATGGGACTTGCATACAGACTACTTGAGGTCAAGGGGAAGTGTTGGATGCTGGGACCTGCCACTGCATACGGCTCAGGGTGAAGCATTTCAGGCTGGGACCTGTCTCTGTAAATTGCAGCTTGGGCTCAGTGTTAAGTGCTGGGAATGGTCCGTGGGCCGCACCCAGCTGCTCAGTTCAACCTGTGGTTGTGATGCCAGTGCACAGTTGGGAGCATGTTTCTGTGTGGATGCAATCTGTGTTACACCTCTACTAGCCGGATCACATGGTTAGCATGTAAAATTTCTCTAAGGCACACAAGCCGAGGGCTGGGGGCTAAGCCCAGCTCCCAAAAAACACAAGACAATAAGATCCTAAAATTAGCCATTAGGTGTCATAAAGTAGTTTTGCAAATTAGCAGGATAGGGACAGCTGTAACATAAACAGCTTCCCACATCTGTCTGTGGGCCACTGCACCAGCCCAGAATAGCCAATGCACAAACCAAACCATCTGTACCCCAGAGCTGATACACCCCTGCAGCAGGGCTGAACTGGGGCAAGTGAGTATAAGGGTATTACACCACTCCTATGATCATCAGGGAGTCATCCTGGGGAATTCCCAGATAGGATTATCTATCTGCATTTCTGTGGCATAGAGGAGAGGGAATGCAGCTCAGAAATGAGGCCAACAGGTCTAAACACATTTTAAAATGTACTGTTTCAAGAAATTTGATACACTACATAATTGGCAATGTTGACCAAGTAATACGAATAAACAAGGTTAAGATTTTGTCACAGATATTTTTAGTAAAAGTCATGGGCAATAAAGAAAAAATAATGGAAGCCCGTGACCTGTCCATAACTTTTTCTAAAAATATCCTGTAGGGGTTTGGAGCTCCAGGATCCCCCTGCAACCCAGCAGCTCTGGGGTACCCCCACTGCCTGCAGTGACCCAGAGTTCTGGGGGCCCCCCGCTGCCTGCATCTCCCTGCAGGCAGGGGGACCTTGCAGCTCCTGGCTGCTAAGGGCTAAAGACATGGAGGTCGCTGGAAGTCACGGATTCCATGACTTCCGTGACCTCTGTGAAAAAATCATAGCCTTACATATAAATGTACACCAAAAAAAATCAAACGTAGGTGTTTAAAACAAAGCACCTAAATAAGAGTGGCCTGATTTTCAGAGATGCTTAGTTTCCCACTGAAGTAAATAAGAATTATGGTCACTTTACATGGCTGAACATCAGACAATTTATTCAGATGTCTAATGGATTTAAGTGTCTAACTTTGGGCACCTACGTTTGAACATTGTGGCCTGGGTGTTTATTACTGTGCATTAGTGTATTTGGTACTTAATGTACTTACAACTTTTAATACTTACATTTTAATTTATTTGTAAACATAAAGCATGCCAGATATCTGCCATCAATATTAAACTTTATTAAGCATTATGCTTCTTCCTTAAATATTTCTTGCCTAGGTACAGCTTTAGTAAGAGCCAAACAGTGTCTTTCATCAAAATGCTGTAATACACTGAAGAGTGACTGTAAACGTAGCATCTGAAGACATAGCTACCTATGTGTATCCACAGATACGTCTACTTTGGTGGCCAGACTTGCAGGGCCACTGAAGGTGAGGGCAGAATTTTGCCTGCAGATTTATTATTGATTGTGATGATGTGTGAGAAATAAGGAACTCGGGTTGAGTTTTCAGGACAGTTAGGAAAAAAAATTCTACTTATGAACAGAAAACATTTGACATCAGAGACACTGAGACATGACCGTGGGACCTTGCATTTTTACAGAGCAATTTTTCAGAGCAGGCTTGCACTTTATGTTCCAGCATACTGACCAAATGTTGGCCAATGTCAGCTGGTTTGTATCCTCCCCTCTCCTCTGCAATCCAGACAGCATTTGGAGGGTGTCTGGTTAGACAGGCTATAGTTTTGATTCTCCAATTGCAGAATGTTGTTCAGTTTCCATTCACCCTGATTAAGATATGAAAATTTTGAGTAACATCATTGAACAATTTGTAGATTGAAAACATTTTGTGTTTATGATTGAAAATCCAGTAACATGTAGGCCAGAAGTGGGCAACTGTGGCCCACGGGACCCTCCTGCCTGGCCCCTGAGCTCCTGCCCTGGGAGGCTTGCCCCCGGCCCCTCCCCTGCTGTTCCCCCTCCCCGCAGCCTCAGCTCGCCCCACTGCCGGCGCAGTGCTCTGGGCAGCGGGGCTGCAAGCTCCTGGGGCAGCGCAGCTGCAGAGCCACGGCCTGACCCGGTGCTGTGTGCTGTGCGCTGTGCAGTGGTGTGGCTGGCTCCAGCCGGGTGGCGCGGCTGCCTGTTCTGCTGCTCTGGGCGGCGCAGCTGTAGCGCCGCCAGCCACCGGTGCTCCAGGCAGCGTGGTAAGGGGGCAGGGAGCAGGGGGGGTTGGATAGAGGGTAGGGGAGTTCGGGGTGGTGGTCACGGGGGTGGGGGTGTGGATGGGGTCAGAGTGGTCAGAGGGTGGGGAACAGGGGTTGAATGGGGGCAGGGGTCCCGGGGGGGAAGTCAGGAAGGAGAGAGGGGGTTGGATGGGGCAGCGGGGGGCAGGGGTTCCGGGGGCAGTCAGGGGACAGGAAGAAGGGGTGGTTGGATGGGCGGGGGGGGGGCAGTCAGGAAGGAGACGGGGGGTTGGATGGAGCGGTGGAGGGTCCGGGGGCTGTCAGGGGACAGGGAAAGGGGAGGGTTGGATGGGGCAGGAGTCCCAAGGGGACCGTCAAGGGGCAAGAAGCTGGGGGGGGGTCAGACAGAGGGTGGGGACCAGGCCACACCTGGCTGTTTGGGGAGGCACAGCCTCCCCTAACCAGCCCTCCATACAATTTTGGAAACCAGATGCGGCCCTCAGGCGAAAAAGTTTGCCCGTCCTTGATGTAGGCAGACTGAGGGCAGGTACTATACATGTTTTTACACAAAGTTCTGCTGGTACAAATTAGTCCTGACCTGCTAACTTACCACTGGCGTTCTCAAAAGACATCTCTGTCCAAAAGACCTGCTGTGGGACTTAAGCAGTCTCTAGTCATTGTGATTCCCTCTGTACTGGTGAATTTCATCAATAGCACAGTAGTGTCTCCAATCAGGTAGTGGTGGTGTGAAGTAGGTATACATCCATTGAGAAATAAGTTGAGCCTATCAATTTCTTTCACATGTTATATCAAACATATCTGAGGCCAGGTCTGCACAGCTGAATCTACTGTATTAACCTATTACAGCACCTATTACTTAATGCTTGGTTTGCTAAGAAATGACAGACTTCTAATGAAGAGATAGCTACAGGAGATTTTCCTTTGGGGGTGAGTGGGCGTGTGTGTGTGTGTGTGTGTGTCTCTCTCTCTCTCGCTCTCTAATTCTAATGAAAGGCTCCAAAATTTACACTCAAGTCTTTTATTTATCCACAGAACATGTATAATGCACGATTAAAAAGGTACATGTTCTATAGCACTACCTAGAGCTCAATCAAGTCTTATCCTCAGTTACAGGAACCCTCTCTAGGATTAAAAAGGTAATTCAGTGTACTTGCTCAGTAAGTTATTTTGCCTCTGCTGAATCTTCCAGCACGGCTGGTACTTATTGCTAGTTGGGAGTCGTGTTTTTTGTGATGAACACTTATGCCATGGAGACCACCAACTCTATATACTGCTTTAGCAACCACCTCTGAAGAGAGACCACCTGTCACATGCGACTACTTGCAGAAGCCACGGAAAGTTTTTCCCTTATAATTTAACTGCAAAGAAACTGTAAAGAGAGATGACCTGTCATCTGCAACCAGCAACCACATTTTCTTTACTCCCATTCATAAACACAAACCTGTAGGAGAAACTGATCTTCGCTTATCAGTAGGAGTCTAGTGTACCATATCAGGCCACCCTTACTTCTGCACTTTGCTGGTGATGGCATTGCTGGTGAGAATGGCTGAGCCGGGCACCCAGCCAGCAGCCAATGCTCTCCCATGTGCAAACCTTTGAAGAGTGACCACCTCTTCCAAGAGACCACTTTTGCTAACTCCCATGAGTGGTCGCTCTTGGCAGGTTTTACTGTACTGTAGTCTGTCAAGTGGCAATCAGAAGGTAATATTAAATCACTATTAACGAGACTGAATTTGAAGTGATGACCTAAAGGTGAGAGACTATTGCCAGTCTCCTACAATAACCAGTTTCCTTAGGGATGGAGTGTTTTATTGATGATCTACTGTATTTCCAATTCTGTTTTATTTGTTATGTGATTATTAATACATGCTTTCAAGATCTTAAAAAGAACTAACTCCGCAGATCCTTCTAATTTGTTCATAGGTAAGCCAGAATACCAATGACCAAGGAGCCTGCAAAAGTAATCACACAAATTATTACAAACTTAGAACAGAGGAAACATTTTAGTAAGTATTCATTAGCCAGTTTAACAGGGATAAATACATAACTATATTAAAGTGTTTGTCTTAGCTAGATTATAAGAAGTTTATGGAGGGTGTCGTATTGTATGTTGCCTATAGTTAAAGTTGCCCAGCCTTTCCCATAAAGACCCTCTTTCCAATTTATTTTGCTAAAATGTAACCCTTTGGGCTGAAATTTTCCATGCCAGGCATCTGCTGCAGGCTGAATTTTTTCAGAAAGTGTCAGCAAAAATTGTTCAGCTGTTTCCAAAAATGAAATTAGGGGAAAATACATAGTTTTGCCCATGTTAAAAGAAATTCTTACAACTGTTTAGATGAGCAGCTCTAATACCAACATACTTTGGAGAAAGGAATTGAAATGTGACAGGGTGCTTGTCTGTGTCAGAGATGTGCTTTTGCTTTTTTCTATGAAAAACCACCCAAATTTGGCCAAATTATAAACCTTTGAAAAAAAATCTCAGTTGGCACATGCTCAGTAGAGACTTGTTAGCGTTTGGCTGCTAAATTCCCTGAAGATTCCATCTGTACTGGTTATAGTCTAGCCCAGGGATGCAGTAGCTGAGCAGGACTTTCCTTGCAATTGTTCTTTACAGCTGCTGTGATACCAGGCACAGGAACTGAGAGCAGAAAGATTTTCTTTCCTGTGCTCTCTTTGCTGGTGCCCAGGTACCCTGAAAGAGGAAGCTGCTTGATTTGAATGCAGAGAACAAGAGTCAGACTGGGTGGGAAGGGAAGTGGGGGGAGTAGATTGGTGCCAGTGGGACTGGGACTACTTGGCAAAGGAGACTGGGAGCTGGGGAAAAGAAACCAGGGGATTGAGATAAGTGGGTGGGTAGAAGACTGACATTGGTCAAGGACCCAGAAGAGGGGGAGACTGGAACAAGGAGCCTGGGGGACGTGAGGAGGTGAGAGTGGTTGGACAAGAAGACTAGGGCAAGCAGAGTAATAAAATCACATTTGTTTTGGAATATAGTATCCACACAGAGAGTTACACTGTCATAGCTATAGCAGAATAATTATCCCGCTACAGCTATGCCTGTCTGCTTCCCTGTGTAGACAAGCACATGGCTTATGAGATCTGAGAACTTGACAATTCAGGATGAGTGAAGGCAGGCACATAACTAGACCCAAAGCTCTGTCAGTACACATCAATCTTGATCTGCAAAGCTCTGTCAGTACACATCAATCTTGATCTGCAACATCCCTATTATTCCAGGCCTGGAACCTCTTCTGAGCAAACACTAACGGTCATTTCAGCCAATGTGGTTGGTTGGTGGAGTGGACAAATGAGAACTCTAATCTAGCTAAGGAGTTTTTATGGTGCCTATCAAGAAGGTATTTAAACACTGAGACCAGTCTTTCCCATGTAACCGTAGGCAAGGCTTGGGTTCATGCCTCCAGATTTAAATGACTAGTGTACTAAGAATGCACACTAATTCACTTTATTTTAAAAACCTCATATTAATATTTTCCAAGTTTAATGATATAGTAAACGCAACAAAGGACTATGAAATACATATTTTAATATCAGTATTGCTGTAAGATGTTCTGTGTAGCTCTCTAATTGTTTTAGGACCCAATCCTGCAGGGTGCTTAGTGCCTCCTACAAAGCACTCCAACTTCAGTTCCCAGCAAAGTCAATGGGAATTGAAGGCATTCAGCATCTGGCAGGATAAGACTCTTAACGCATCTCAGGAAACCCTGTAGTTGTACAACACTGCATTACAAACTATCTAGTTGTAAAGAGTTTATACTAAAAGAGGAAAAGTCATTTACCATTCGCATCCAGGTTGGTAAAAAGCCTTTGTATAGAGACATAAATCCTTCACCTTGTATAGCCTGAATCAAGCAGTCTGCAGAAGACTTATACAGCAGTCCTCTAGCAATGAGGAAGGAGAACAAAATGAAGTTGGTGTTACAAATACACAAGTAGACTGTAGGAAATGAAAGTGTTTCAGCACCATCACCCCTGCCCAATATAACACCACCAAATCTTCCATCAGGGTAGCTCCTATGAAAGGTTACATTTAGAAACAAGATCCCTGGCGTAGACTCACTGAAGTCAATGAAGCTATACCAGGGATTAATTCAGCCCCAAAAGTAAACTATATGTAAAGCTCTCGCTTAGTTTAAAGTATAGTTATGGACCGTTACTACGAAAATAGCTTTTATATGCAAAAATAAACACCAAGACAATAAATCAGAAAGATAAGAGTAGACTAGAGACCCAAGGCCTGTTGTAGCGAAGAAATCAATGTGAATCTTTCCATTGACTTCATTGGGAGTTCAGTTCAGGTCCCAAATTACTACTGAAGTTGGGAAATACCCTCTCAGAAATATCCATACCTTCCCTGTTTATCTCTTGGTTGGTTCATTATCCGTGTTTTGACGACATCAGCAGGAGTTCCCAGGATAGCGGCTACCAGGCCAGAACACACACTGTCAATAAAAAACACTATTTGAAGAAAAAACACATCAAGGTTTATCATCCCAATTCAACCACCTAGATCTCAGTTTCAAAAATAAAGACATTTGTAGGGCTGTTGTCATTAAACCATGATTAATGCCTCATAACTTAATGTGGGTTTCCCAGTTAGGACAGAGCTGGGAAAAATTGCCTCAGCTCTGACACTCACGTATCTCCACTCAGAACCAGTTGCCCTGGCTTCATTGGTACAATGTGAGGCATGCGGGGTCAAGTGCCCCCCTAGATTTCTGCTTAGCCTGCCTGGTGGACGAAAGGAGAGGGGCTCCCTTCTCTTGCTGCACCTGCACCCCGGCAAACTCCACCCTTGTCCCTGGCAGCCGAGCCTGGGCGGGGAGCAGAAAGGGCAGGACCGGCAATTCTGTGCAGCACAGCAGCTGCCCGTGAGAGAGCCTGGCTACGGCAGTGGCCTGCCCTGCCCCCTCTGCTCCCCACCTGGGCCAGGCTGCCAGGGACTGGGCCCGAGCAAGCCAGAAATGTGATGAGGGAGGGAGGGCTCCAGCTCGCTCAGCACTTGTCTTGGACAGCCAGGCTGGGCAGGGAGCAGAGGCGGTGGTCCAGCCTGGGCCACCGCCCCAGCCAGGTTCTCTCTGGCAGCCGCTGTGCTGCACAGAGTCAGAGACCCGGAGTGGCCAGTTTCAGCTGCTGTAAGAAGCTGCTCCGTCCCGCTCCCTGCCTGGGCCCAGCTGCCAGGGACAGGTTCCGAACGTGCTTGGGGAGGCGCACTGGGAGAAGGACAGAGCCCCTCCCATCCCCACAGGTAACTGCTGGGGCGGGGAGAGCGGGGCGGCCCCAGGTAGGGTGCAGGGCAGGGAGGTCGTTGGGCAGAGGAAACACATGGGGTGGTCATGTGTCCTCCCTTTAGATTGTGCCCCCTTCCCCCCCCCCCCCAGTATCAGGAGGCACAAGTCATCATGAGGTAGTACATATCCTTGAAGTACAGCTGGAAATCTTGTGGAGCATGGGACCTTCCTAAGGGAACTACATGCACAAATACTCAAACACCAGGAAACTCTCTCTGGGAAAATACAGTGTATGTTGGTACTGTAGAATCACACCATAATAGTTCTGTGGAGCCAAGAATACAACAAAATAGAACAGTAGGTTATACTGGGACAGAGGAAAAATGAATAAAGACCAGATGGGATAATGGAAGGTAACTGGTATAAATTAGCATTGCTTCACTGACTTTAATGGAGCTATACTGATTTACAACAGCCAAGGATCTGGCCCGTCACTAACAACTCCCAAAATGCAATCCTAATCCATTTAAAGTCTTGTAATTTTGGATATGTGTGACTAGTGAAATTAAGGCAACCATGGGGATTACAGTGCATCACAAACTGAATGAGCCAAAAATGTCATGCAGTTGTGAAAAAAGCTAATATTTTTTCAAGTGTATTAACAGAGTGTCATGTGTAAGACACATAGGAGGTGGTTGTTCTGCTCTACTTGGCATTGATGAGGCCTCAGCTGCAGTGCTGAGTCCACTTTTGGGTACCACACTTTAAGAAAGAAGTGAACAAAATGGAAAGCCTCTGAAGGAGAGCAACAAAAATAATAAAAGATTTAGAACACCTGACCTATGAGGAAAGGTTCAAAAAGAACTGGGCATGTTTAGTCTTGAGAAAAGACGACAAAAGGGGGCCCTGGTAAGTCTTCAGATATGTTAAGGGGCTGTCATACAGGACTGTGATCAATTGAGTTCCCTGTCTACTGAAGGTAGGGCAAGAAGTCATCAGCTTAATCTGCATCAAGGGAGATATAGTTAGAAATTTTCCCCTAATATAGTTAAATACTGGAATAGGTGACCAAGGGAGGTTGTGCAATCCATCATTGGAGGTTTTTAAGAACAGGTTAGACAAACACCTGTCAGGGATGGTATATGTATACTTGGGCTCACCTCAGTGTAGGGGGAGAAGGGAAGAGACTAGATGACCTCTCTAGGTCCCCCCTCAAACCCAACATTTCTAGGATTCTGTCAGTCAAAGTGATTGGAAAACACTAGAAGTGACATACTCTGCAAGATTAATGGTCTTTCTAGTTTAGGAGCCAATCTTTGACAGGGCCAGATACTTCAAAGGAAAATATAAAAGCACCATAACAGACAATTATGCAATATCATGCCTGAGGGAGAAGTTTCTTCCTAGTCCCAGTGAGTTAGTGTTTGTTTTATATCCTGACATATTAGGGCTGATATTCTTCTCTCTCACCATTTGGCACATTTAAAATTAGACTGGACAAAGCACCAGAAAAATCTAGAAAAGGGAAGAATCCTGCACTGGCAGAGATGAGGGGACAGATCATCTTTTTTCTTTTTTTCCATGTTATGGGCCATATTCTTTGCTGGTTTAAATTGTCATAGCCACACTGACGTCAATGTAGCTATACCAGTTTGCCCCAGCTGCAGATCTGATCCTATGATTCTAGTACCTAAATTGTGCCAGGTCTGAGGGGGAAAAAAAACGATTTAAGGACCAAATAAAATCAACTGGAAAGAGAGAGTTATCTGCATGACACATCCACAATTTCTATAACTGGGGGGAACATGCTGCTGCTGAACCTGTTAATACCTGGATCACGAATTGATTACACAGACATGTATAAAGCAATTCTGCTTAGGTCAGCCATAGCACTGAATGTAAGAACAGGGGATGACTCCCCACCAAGGAGAATTTCAAGGTGGGTAAAACAGTAAGCAAAACAAACCACAAATTTCCTAAGCCCTGGAGGGGGCTCATGTCCCAGAGATAAGCCCTATGTGCTTATTATGAAGAGTTGCCATGTACATGTAGAGGGCAGAAGACAAAATGCAGATAAAGTAGTTTAGGACCTAACCCTACCAGATCATTTAAGGTATCACCTACATTTTTCCATACACACAGATTCATTGGTCTCCAGAGAAGCAGCCTATGGAGAGAGGCCCAGAGAGCCATCTACAGTGTGTCTGATTTTAATATTCCTTCCATTGAGCAGATGGAATGAGATGGGGAGAACTAGATCTCCTGAGTCCTAGACCATTGCCTAAACTGCAAGACTATCCCTTCCTTCCTCTCTCCTTAGGATCCTTTAGGATACTGACACCTTTATTGGAATATTATTTGCCTTGGTGCTCAAGAGGCAGTATACCATCCTATTCTCTACATCTGGCCCACTTCTGCCTAGGATCAAGTTCTTCACCATGGAGACACCTATCAACATTAGGTGCGTCTCCTGTTCTTTCTAATAGTTCCCTTTCAGTTCTTGCTTTTTGGTTACTGGTCAGCTACTGTCTATTCTCTGTCTGCTCGTGCTCTACCTCCAGGCAGAATACTTAGTCACAGAATTCCAAATATACTGTGTATAATTTAACAACAACACCTAGCACTTTCATATGCAATCTCAAAGTGCTTTGCAACATTGGGTAAGTAGCATTATTCCCAGCTACTGCATGGGTAACTTAAGCAACAAGAAGTGAAGTGACTTGCCCACGCTTACACAGCAAGTTACTGGCAGAGCTGGAAATAGAACCCACGTTCCCAGGTCGCAGTTGAGTGTCCTGTTATGGCTACCTCTGAAGAAGCAATAATTATTGGAAGACAGAGGGAAGCAGCAATGTGATTGTCCTGAAAATGATAACATCACTGAGTGATTAGCTTGTGGCTAAAAGTTCTCCTTAGAGATGTGGGAGGGGATAATAAAATAAGGCACCTTGCAATGCTGTGAGTCACACTATTGTCCTGAAGTGGTGTGTTCAGAAGTAAAAAATGTTTCACTGAGTCATAAGTAGTCAGATCTGTAAAGAGAGTAATTAGTAGAAAGAAGAATAAATGAGAAGTTACATGGTATTCAGCCTCCTTGTTATTGATTTAGGAGATAAAGACCTGAGCTAAATAAATCCCTGGTGTAACCACTGACTACAAGACTTGCACCAGGCTGGCATAGACCCTGTTCCCCTTTACTACTGCCATCAGCTACATCTAGAGCCTCATCTCTGCTTTCCCCCTGCCTCCATCACAAAACATATTATTGGAGTACGCATACAGAATAATTGAACTCTCTCTCTTCCCGAAACCACCCACCTCTCCTCCTGTTTAACAAGAAAACAGTAACTTGGAAAACACATTTCCAAGGGGAAATTGGGCAAAAATGTTGTCAAACAAAATTGGAAACATTCATATAACTCTAAAAAGGATTTTTTTTTCTCTTCTCTGTCACTTTTCTTTCTCTGGGTAAGCACCATTATCCCCATTTTGCAAATGGCAAAAATGACAATAGAGGGCATAAGAGTCTAAATTGGGATAACTTGATGAGGGGTTGGAAGGAAGTGTAAGTTAAAGTGACTAAGGATTTAAATGAAGACCAGTAGTCTCCTAGAAAATTAACGGTAGATTTAGGAATAGAAGACAGGTGTCCTGACCTTAAATTTGGTGCTTTATTTACAGAACCATGCTGACTTCCTTAGTACTTTATAGTAGGGCTGTCAAGCAATTAAAAAAATTAATTGCGATTAATTGCACTGTTAAACAATAGAATACCATTTATTTAAATATTTTTGGATGTTTTCTACATTTTCAAATATATTGATTTCAATTACAACACAGAATACAAAGTGTACAGTACTCACTTTATTTTGGATTACAAGTATTTGCCCTGTAAAATAAAAGAAATTGTATTTTTCAATTCACCTAGTATAAGCACTGTAGTGCAATCTCTTTATCATGAAAGTTGAACTTACAAATGTAGAATTATGTACAAAAAAACCTGCATTCAAAAATAAAACAATGTAAAATTTTAGAGCCTACAAGTCCACTCAGCCCTACTTCTTGTTCAGCCAATCGCTCAGACAAACAAGTTTGTTTACATTTGCAGGAGATAATGCTGTCCACTTCTTGTTTACAATATCACCTGAAAGGGAGAACAGGTGTTGGCATGGCATTGTTGTAGCCAGTGTCGCAAGATATTTACGTGCCAGATGTGCTAAAGATTCACATGTCCCTTCACGCTTCAACCACCATTTCAGGGGATGTGCGTCCATGCTGATGATGGGTTTTGCTCGATAACAATCCAAAGCAGTGCAGACTGACGCATGTTCATTTTCATCATCTGAGTCAGATGCCACCAGCAGAAGGTTGATTTTCTTTTTTGGTGGTTCGGGTTCTGTAGTTTCTCTTTAAGACGTCTCTTTTAAGGCTTCTTTAAGACTTGCTCTTTTAAGACTTCTGAAAGCATGCTCCACACCTTGTCCTTCTCAGATTTTGGATGGCACTTCAGACTCTTAAACCTTGGGTCGAGTGCTGTAGCTATCTTTAGAAATCTCACATTGATACTTTCTTTGCATTTTGTCAAATCTGCAGTGAAAGTGTTCTTAAAATGAACATGTGCTGGGTCATCATCTGAGACTGCTATAACATGAAATATGTGGCAGACTGCAGGTAAAACAAAGATGGGGACATATAATTCTCCCCCAAGGAGTTCAGTCACAAATTTAATTAATGCATTATTTTTTTAACGTGCATCATCAGCATGGAGGCATGTCCTCTGGAATGGTGGCTGAAGCATGAAGGGGCATATGAATGTTTAGCATATCTGGCACGTAAATACCTTGCAATGCCGGCTACAAAAGTGCCATGCAAATACCTGTTCTCACTTTCTGGTGACATTGTAAATAAGAAGTGGGCAGCATTATCTCCTGCAAATGTAAACAAACTTGTTTGTCTTAGTGTCTGGCTGAACAAGAAGTAGGATTGAGTTGACTTGTAGGCTATGAAGTTTTACATTATTTTGGTTCTGAGTGCAGTTATGTAACAAAACAAAACAAAAAATCTACATTTGTAAGTTGCACTTTCAGGACAAAGAGACTGCACTACAGTACTTGTATGAGGTGAATTGAAAAATACTATTTTTCATTTTTACAGTGCAAATATTTGTAATAAAAATAATATACACTTATTTCAATTACAACAGAGAATACAATATATATATGAAAATATAGAAAAACATCCAAAATATTTAATAAATTTCAATTGGTATTCTATTGTTTAACAGTGCGATTAAAACGGTGATTAATCACAATTAATTTTTTTGAGTTAATTGCGTGAGTTAACTGGAATTAATCGACAACCCTACTGTATAGTGTTTTTCAGGCCAAATTTGTAAGGTGGTAGAAGTTACATGTTAGTAAATAGATGTAAGTAAATCTGAATTGGTATAGCTTTTTTTCTGAGGGATGGAAAGACTAAATTAAAGTGTGTGTGTGTGTGTGTGTGTGTGTGTGTGTGTGTGTGTGTGTGTG